TATTCTAGGTAAGCACAAAATAAAACTTACACATAGTTTGTGTTTAAGTTCCCACAAATGAAGGAAATAGGATTCTCAATTCCCACATGAGCACCCAAAATAATAAATGCCTACTGAGTACAGAATGTCCTTTGTTTCACCCCACATAAAATGTGAATGAAAAGAGCTCATAGATCCCATGAACAAATGTGGAAAATATTTAAAGGAACCCAAAATATCCCCTAAATAATTAACACAATCTTCCTTCCTCTAATGTACCTTGCACATTCCTGGTTTTCTACGTAGTCCCCCTCCCCAATTTTAGTGCCAGCCTATAGTTGAGACTCAATACAGAAGGGAAGCATGTTTTGGGCTTGGAGGACAACCCCTTCCTATCTGACTTACCCTGCCCAGATATGTGCTGTCCCATGTCATTATTTCAGTCACATGCTGTCTCTAGCTATTCCATCCACTCTCTTCAAAAGGCACACTGTTCATGAGGTTTCTTTTCTGGGAATAGAAAGCCAGATCCCTCAAACAGTGAAAGTTGTGCTTCTTTAGAAGGCAGTCCCCAAGATTGGAGCTACACAAGAACTCTATTTTTTCTGGCTTGAAGAATAGATTAAGGATCTAGTTGTCCAGGAAGTCCTTCTCCCTACCTTCTCTAGCTAGGAAGCAAGGGTTCTGGAAGGACATTGTCCCTGAACTTTTGTGTCAAGTTAACTGGGAGAGTTCCTACCACTGCCACCTCTTAGATAAAGATAGTCTACTCTCAAATTTCTGGTCTTGACTTATGCTGATAAAGGAAAAAAAGAAAGGCAAAAGGTAGCTTAAGTTAAGGTTCAGGTATTTCCTAAACACTCCAGCAAGTGTATACAATTCATCATGAGCTTCAGCTGAAAGACTATACCATTAGCAACTCCTAGGGAAGGGAAGGAAGGAAGACATAACTCTACATCTATTGTACTTGAGGATTTCTCCAGAAGGATGAAAAAAAAGTGAAAGGATAACTACATGCATGTACACACACACACACACACACACACACACACCCTTGATGAAGGCTACCTTGAAAATAATCTTTCCTGAGTCTCCATTTCTGAAGTCCACCTGCCAGGAGGTACCAAAGGCATTCCCATACTCTGTAAATCAGGGATTCTTACCTTGAAGTCCACAATTTTAACATATATTTAATAACTACTTCAGTATAATTTGTTTCTTTTGTAATTGTATATATTTTATTTTATGCTTTTAAAAACAGTATTCTGAAAAGGGTTCTCTAGGTTTCTCCAAGCTGTCAATGGGGTCCATGATATAGAAAAGGGTAAGAACCTCTGCTTCAAAGGAAGATGCAATCAAAAGTCCCACATAGAGCCTCATCTTCTGGGAAGCTCCTCCAAATGACCAGAGAACTCCCTTAATCAATGCCTACTTTACATAATACCTGGCATTTCTCCACCAGATGAGAAACCATCCAGATCTACCGTATGAGATATACCATCCAGAGTAAAAAACCTGCCTCATTCTTTATAATCCCATTACCTTTGGCTGCCTCAGAGAATTCCTTTAACATAACATGATAGCAAATCACACATACTGTGCACCCATTAGAAACAGTGGCAAAGATCTTGATGGCAATAGGAATGACAAGTCTGAGGGTGGTCTTTGCAAAGAATCATCATTGATTGTCCTTCCTTCAGTGGCTATTTTAATCCTTCCCTTTTTGCACCTGCTCTCCCATGTTCTCCAGTAAGGTATTGTGTTTAGGACTTTGAATTTTGTTTTGTGTGAGTTAAAAGGTACCCTGATAGAAGATCTATTTCTTCATGCATTCCTTATAACTACTATTAAATTAAATATCATTATTGGGACATATCCTAATGTAACTGTTGGGCTCAGATATGCAGTGTTTGCATTAAGTAAAGATTATTTTATTATTGTTTTGGAAAAACTTTGGTGCCTGGATGGAGCAGATGCTGGGACCAGGGCTGATGAAGACAATCAGTTAGCAAGCATTAGTTAAGTACTTAATATGTACTAGGCAATGTGCTAAGCTCAGGGGATACAAAGAATGGCAAAAGACAGTCTCTTCTTCTAAGAATTCATAGTCTAATCAGCAGGGACATATAGCTTCATCAATTTAGACCCTTGCATATCCTCTGTCTGGCTATAGACAAGTGTGGAGGAAGATAAAGAAGAATGATGCCCGAAAGAGAAGAAGTGTGGCTTGAACTAAGGGTAGAAGCAAAGAGGCCAATTAAAAATTAATCTGGAGTAGTTGTAATGGTCTGAATATCACATTAGGTGGAATGAAGCTCAGTTCTGTCAAAAGTTCTGTAAGCTACCTCCACATAAATATTGCCCCTCCAAAAAAAATTTCCTTGAGCTAGAGTGCTGGGAACATAGTAGGTGCTTAATCAATATTGCATAGAGGCCTACATTCTTAACCTACCATGACCTTAATGATAGAAGTTGTTGGTAAATAGGTTCTCAAATACCACTAGGGGGCACAGTTCTGTTTAAGACAAAGGCTTTTATGAGGACAACAAATCAAGTGGAACTAACTTGATGCCATTTTGAGGTACTGTGTATATGTGATTTGTAGCAGAGATCACATGTCATTATTTGATTCAGGGAATATATGATTGCTTGTGACCAGTACCTGCTCCATGTTCTTGTCAGAAGTGGTCAGAGCAGAGCATCTATAGCAATTAAGAAAATTTAGAGGGAGGGGTGCAAAAACTTGAAAGACTGTCATATGGAGGGGGGCTTAACTTTGTTCTTCATAGTACTAGAGGACAGAACTGAAACCACTGAGTGGAACTTCCTTAGGTGGCATATTTCAGTTTAATAAAAATTGTAGCTTCCTAACAATTAAAGCTGAGTGGAGTAAGCTGCTGTGTGAAGTAGTGAGCTCCCCAACACTAAAAGTGTACAGTTGGAGGCTGGATGAACAATTGAAAGCCTTGAGGATTATACCATGGTAGATCTACTTCCTTTAACTCTTGATGCTGTTACTGTCACAGCTAAGTGTCATTAGTGGAAAATCCTCATGCAACAGCTGTTTCTATGTTACTGTCTTTTGTTTGGGGCAATGGTTTTACTTGAATTACCTGGATGGTTGAAGCTGAAAAGGAGTGACCACAGTGTCCTATTCTATTAGTTTGTGTCAGAGATGAAACTAATTCATGGTAGGAGATTGTCTAAAATATACAAGTCTGAAGCATGCAGTCATATTTACAATATGGATTCCCCTTTTGTGCCTGAGCTGGGAAAATGGGTTTATTTTCACTTTCTGTTTAGATGGAAATGTATGACCTTAGACCTACAGCAAAAATCTTGAATGTGGTCTAGTGAATTGCCCTATTTTCTGCCTTAAAACTCCATTAGTTTGAGAAATTCTCTGGTTCCACTGCAAAATTGCTCAGATGGCTCTGGTACAGGATCACGTAATATTGTGTTATTTAATGACTTCAAAGGCATCAGGCATTCAGTTTTCTTGCCAACTCACTAAACCTCTTCCTTGTAATGATATTGATAAAAGGTATAGCAGATGCACAACAGCTGGCTTGTGAACTTCACCATCTCAGCCATTTCTTGGCACCATCATCAAAGTCTTTCCCTGAATACCAATCTTAATTGATGAGAATTTCACAATCTCAGGGTTTTAAAGTGTTCAATACATTTCCCTACTTAGATAATTTCAACTTACACAATTCTACATGAGTCATGAATGGCTAGATACTTAAAGTTTAGCATTCCTTTATTTTTTATGAGTATAACTTACAGGATATTCTTTCCTAATTAGTTAGCTTACAAAGAGATATTGCTTCCCAAGTTTTATCCTAGAGTATAATTTTTATGGTTGAGTTGTAAAACCTTTGAAAATAGGAGTTTATAATACAAAGTGACAAATCCTAGCTGCAGTTCAACCATCTGCCTCTAATAAATACATGTTCTTTCTCTCCCTTTCAACCCTGACATTTCCTTCCATGACCCAAGGTCAATTTAAAAAAATATATATTGTATCAAAGAATGCTGGAAAGCAGATATTAATGAGGGGAATGTAACTCTGAGTAACAGTTCTATAAGTTACTCCTGACTACCAACAGGCTTACTTAATAATAATGCCAATTATCTTTATTAACAACTCTCACAATTCTGAGGATTCAGTTATTCAGAACCATGGACAGCAATATACCTTCTCCATCAAAAGGTTAACTTTCTTGACTACACATGGTAAAATGGGATATTGAGAGTTTCGCATGACAATAACGTACATTTATCTTAATTCTCGGGTGCCATCTGCTTTGTATGTGCCTTCAGGATTTCAAAACTCGATGAAGACTGATGATGACATTATCTAGGAGACATGAAGCCTTCAGGCAGCGAGGGAACAATGGTACCTCTCAGACAGGTATAACCTAGATTTAATAATCAATCATATTATTGGTTTCATTGACAATGACTTTCTCTGAGCACTAACTTCAATTCTTTCTTTGTACTATAAAATAATTATACAGTGATTGGGGTGCCTGGGCAGAAAAATATTAAGTGAGAGGCTTCTTCTGCTTGGATACAGTAGGGAGAACTAGTTATCAGTAAGTAGAAGTTACAAGGAGAATAGTAGATTTCAGTTCAGAATAAAGAAGGACTTGATAGTAAGTCTGTCTTTGTATAGATTGAGACAGATAAATCTTTTGTGCCTGAGAGTTCTAAGCATACAGTGTGTATATGGGTGTGTGTGTATATATATATATGTATACATGTATATATATGTATATATATGTATATATATATACATATATATGTATATATATATATACACATACATGTATGTATGTATGTATGTATGTATGTATATATGTATATGTATATTCTCTAAGTATACAAAGCTAATCAGGTATCTGCAATAGTTTAGCAATTGTTAGGTAACCTAATTACACAATTGCTAGGTAACCAAGTTACCTAACAATGGGTGAATGACTGCAGTCAAAAAATAGAGCAAGTCAAGATCCTGTGCCAGTCAGAATGGGACCAGGTGTATGAGTAGCCTCTTGACTTCCAACCTGGGGAAGATATAGACACCCATGCAAAAAGAGGAGACAGATAAACAGAGAGAGAGAGAGTGTTAGTTCATCCAACACCAGGCAGGTGGATATGTCAAGATCAAGGGAAGCTAGCATAAACCCAGATGTGATGACAACAAAATGAGAAAGTGATTGAAATGATCATGATGCCCAATATTGATTATGGAAGCAATAAGAAAACAAAACACATGCTGTCCAGTCAATTTAGAAAAAAATTGGTATTTGTTGTTCAGTTGTTTCAGTCATGTCCATTTCTTTGTGACCCAATTTGGGGTTTTCTTGGCAAATATACTGGAATGGTTTGCCATTTCTTTCTCCAGCTCATTTTGCAGATGAGGAAACTGAGGCAAACAATGTGAGGACCAAGGTCATACAGCTAACAAGTGTCAGAGGCCAAATTTGAACTCAGGTCTTCCTGACTCTAAGCTCAGTATTCTATCACTATGTCATACGGCTACCCTAAAAATGAGATGTGTGATGTTAAAGAGCTGGACGAGTTCCTACTGTGAAACAAACCTTACTACGTGGCCATTACTTACAATTGTTCTTCTAAAAATGGTAAAGTCATTGTGGAGCTCAAATGAACATCAAGCTTACCAATCAAAAGCTTGATGAAGGAATGAAAAAAATGAACAAATTATTCTGAAAAATCCTACTTGTATTAGACAAAACTTCAAAATGCCATCAACAAGAACAAGGAAATAGGTATAAGGATCCAGTAACTGTGTAAGAGGTGGGAATGGGCTTTGCTATAACTAAACTCCTTTTGCCTTTTACTTCTCCTCATAGGTCTAAGTGGTCCACGACACAGGTAAGTAGAGCAGTTGAAGACATAATCAGTGAATTGCAGAGGTGGAAAAGTCCTCCAACATACTCTAGTTCAACCTGGATCTCAACATGGATTCCCTCTATGATGTGCATGACAAGTAGTCACCCACCTTCCACCTGAAGTAAATGGATGGAGAATTTACTTCCTCCACAGGTACCGCATTCCACATTACACTGACGTTAACTTGTTAGGAGATTAGTTCTTACACTGAATTGAAATCTGTCCCTTACAATTGACAATGATTTCTCCTGGTTCTATTTTCTGGTTCTTCCTTCCACATAAAAGCATTTCAACAACTTAAAGGTAGCCATCATAGCCCCAACTCGGTATTTTCTTGTCTAAGCTAAATATGCAGAGTTTCTTCAGTTGAAGCTCTAGTGGCATGGTCTCTGATTTCTTCAGCATTCTGACTGTTCTCTTCTAGATGCAATAAATTTCTCCTTAAATATATATTTTTCTGAACTAGACTCAATACTTCAAAAATGTTCTGACCCAGGCACAGAACTTTAGAGTAACCACCTCCATTGTTCTCTACACTAAGTCTCTTAATGAAACTTAGAATAGACTAGTTGGTGGGGTTTTTTTTTGTTAGTCAATAGGCATTTACTGAGCACCTACTCTGTGCCTTAGCACTGTGCTAAGCACTAGGAATACAAATAAAGGCAAAAGACAGTCCCTGCTGTCTAGGAACTCATGGCTTAATGGGGGAAACAATGTATAAACAACTGTGTATAAACAAGCTACACAGGGGATAAATCAGGATAATCAGCAGAGGGAAGGGACTGACATTAAGGAAGATTGGGAAAGATTTCCTGTAGCAAATGAGCTATTAGCTGGGACTAACAGGAAGCCAGAGAAGCCAAGAAGTAGAGATGCTGAAGAAGAGCATCCCAGGAATGGGGGACAACCCCTGAAAATGGCCAGAGTTGAGAGATGAAGAGTCTTGTTCAAGGAACAAAAAGGAGAACAGTGTCACTGTATTACAGAGTAAAAGGGAGTGGGGTATAAGGCACAAGAAGACTGAAAATATATATTTGTGTGGAGCAATTATTAATTCATATTGAGCTTATAAAGCTCCCCAAATCATTTTCAAATTAATTGTTCTTTAGCTGTTTCCAAAATTCTCTACTTTTTGGCTGATTTTTTAAAACCCAAGTATAGGACTTTATATTAATCTCTAACAAATAACTTCTTATTAGGCATAATCTCTTATTCTAATTTGCCAAGATCTTTTGGGATCTTGACTATTATCCAGTGTGTCAATTATCCCTTCCAGTCCATGCCATCTGAAAATGTGATATCTGACATCTATTTCTCTATCCAAGACATTGATTAAAAATATTGAAGAGGGCAGGGCTAAGGAGAGAACCCTGAGGTAACCTACTATACGCCTCCCTCCAGGTTGTAATAGATTTGTTAATCACTCCTCTCTGAGTCTAGTAGTTCAACTAGTGCACACCTCTACATCTTGACCATAAAGATATTAGGAGAGACTTTGTCAGATGCCTTGCTGAAACCCAGGAATATATGTTGTCTTTTCCTGATTTAACATTCTAGTAACCCCATCAATGGAGAGCACCTCAAACTCAGGATACCCAAGACGGAAGCTCCTGAAAAGTAGGAATTGTTCCATTCTTTGTATTTGTATGACCAGGTCTTAGCACAGTGCCCAGCACATGGTAGGTGTTTAATACATATTTGTTATTTATTGTTGAACTCAGTAATGCCTATCCCCCTTTTACTCTCCTATATCTATTAATAGCACCATCATTCCCCCAATTATCCAAGCTTAAGAGCACAAAAGTCATTTTTGTGATACAGTCAAATCAAGTCAAGAAACATTTATTAATCACCTACTATGTCCCAGGAGTTATGTTATGCACTTGAGAAACAATTCTAATATGTCTAACTCTAATATGTTCACTACATATGTGACCTTGAGCAAGTCACTTGTTGAAATTACTTCTTGAGGCAAGACCTGAGTTTTCTTTTTTTTTTCTTTCTTTCTTTCTTCTTTCCTTCCTTCCTTCCTTCCTTCTTCTTTCTTCTTTCTTTCTTTCTTTCTTTCTTTCTTTCTTTCTTTCTTTCTTTCTTTCTTTCTTTCTTTCTTTCTTTCTTTCTTTTGTGAGGCAATTGGGGTTAAATGACTTGCCATAGTCACACAGCTAGTGAGTGTTATGTATCTGAGGCTAGATTTGAACTCAGGTCCTCTTGACTTCAGGGCCAGTGCTCTATCCACTGTGCCATCTAGCTGTCCCAAGACCTGAGTTTTCTTATCTGTAAAATCACAGATATGGATTACGTGGCCTGGTGTCATGTGTAGCTCTATCTCTAAGACCCTATAACTCAACTTCTCCCTCTCCCCAATACAGAGTAAGGTACTAAGTCGTATCTTTTCTCTCTTCACTGTGCCCCTTATTTCTGCCCCCACTTCCCATTTTCACTGTTACTACCCCAGTTCATATCCTCATTATCTCTCACCTGGGCTATCTTAATAGCATCCTGATTGGTCTGAAAAGCAGCATGGCATACTATGTAAAGAATTGCACTTGGAATCATGAAAGATCTGGGTTCAGATGCTACTTCTGGCACTTACTGACTGTGTTCCTGAATCAATCACTTAACCTACTAGTAACCCAGGCAATCTCTAAGATTATAATTTGCAAGATAAGGACTCATATATTTGGAAGAGTTTTTTCAATGAATTCCTGATACCCTTGAAATCACAGATGTGTTCTATATCAAATCCTAACTGATATTCTTGTCTCTAGGCCTTCCTCCACAACCATGGTTGGGAACCTACAGCCTCCAGGCCACATGTGGCCCTCTGGGTCCTCAAGTACAGCCCTTTGACTGAATCCAAACTTCATAGAACAAATTCCCTTAATAAAAGGATTTGTTCTGTAAAATTTGGACTCAGTCAAAAGGTCACACCCAAGGACCTAGAAGGTCACATGTGGCCTGGAGGCCACAGGTTCTCCACCTCTGCTCTGCAACATAGCCAGAATAATCTTCCCAATGCACAGCTCTGATCCTACTCCTCCCTCACTCCTAAGTCTTTGATGGCTCCTTGTGACCTACTGCATGAGGTCTAAATCTCTTAGCCTAGTTTATTTTCAATCCCTGAATATATTCCAATATTATTTGGTCTTAATGACACTGGATCTCAAAAGGGCACTTTGTAAATTTTGTCACAGAATTAGCAGAACAAATCTCCAAAAATTAAGAGAAATGAAAGAATGAAAAAAAAAACCTAGGTTTTACAACACCAGGAACTTATAGGACTTGGACTTCATAATAATAGTACCTTCAGGGCATTGCAAGTGACAGAAACCCAAATTGTGCTTTTCAGTAAATTTTAACCAGTTCTGATAATTTTATTACCCAGTATAGTTGCCCAGTTCAATATTATTTTTAAGTTCATCACTTAAAATACTCAGTATTGAAAAATATCCAGCCTTCCCTATTATGACACAAATAATAATCTTTTCCACCCCTGTCCTCTTGTATTTCCAAAGGAATTCACACATCTTTCTGGAATGGAGGGAAGGACCAAGAAGATAACCTTAAACTGTCATCTAAAATGAGACCTTTATTTGCAAAGTTATGTTTGCTTGTAAGTACCGTAGACAGATTTGTATTCAATGTATTTGGAATCTTACATGCATTTTTTTGCTCTTGCCTTTGATCTCTCTCCTCTTAAAATATATGCACTTATTCTCTGCTTACCTTAGGATTTCAATTCTGTCTTCCAGATACTGTCCTGATAGTCTGAATCATTGGCTCTGTTCTCAATAAAGTACAGAAGATGGATAGCTTGAGCACTTTGCTTCAGCTCTTATAAATCTAATAAATGGACCCATCCATATCATCTCTCTTGGAATCCTTCACATTGCCCTGGTTGGTTTTTGTTGCAGATAAGAAAAGGGAATGTTTTCCAGGCTTGATATTGATGAGTCTGAAACAGCTACACTAATAATTCTACATCTATACAACTTTATTTTTATTGTTCAACAAGCAATGAGTGGCATTCCCTAAGCGAACAACAATGTGGCTCAAGCAATAAAGAATCAGGTATTGTCAGGTCATTTGGTGTATAAGTTATGCTGGGCATTGCAACTCCCAAGTGCTACTGAGCACTGGAAATGTGTTCCTAACAAATGCCATGGAATGTTGGTAGCCACTACTCTCCCCTGACAAGCTGATCTGGAGATTAGATAAACTTCCTGAACCTGTTCAATTTTGGTATTGAAAAATGGGAAGTCTGCTATATAAGAATGAGCCTCCTGTGAATAAGCAAGCTTCTAAAATTGGGAGATATAATATGCTTCACCAGAAGAAAGAAATCACAAGAATCAGATCCAGAGTAATATACTTATTTTGGGGAGGGAAGAAAGGGTGTTTAGACCAAAATCTTACTTGTATTTTTTTAGCATATGTTTTAAAAACCATTTTCTATCCCTCTTCCCCCACCCAATCCCATCACCATCCTCATCAGAGGTCTACCTGGGTGACCCAAGGCAAGTCATTTATTGATTAATCTAGAGGTGAGACCTGATCTGGAGATCAGGTGAACTTCAAAGGCATGAAGATGTAAAGAAAAAATTTGAATGAACATTAATATGAGCTATATTATTTTAGTATGAGACATGTCCAAGAGTGAGAAAGGGACAGGCAGAAGGAGGAAGGGAAGGAGAGAACTTTTTTGGTCTTCAAATATAATAGTACCATTTAAAATTTGAATCACGTTGATAAATAATACCCAGGATGGATCATTAATTCATGAGTTCAATAGGAACATTGTCAATATTGCTGGTGGATAGTCCATAGCTTATTGACATTGATTTTTTATAACCTTCCTTAAAACTTCTAAAGCTTCCAATGAAGCCTTTGATTTTCCTTGGTTATCTTTTGTTTAAAAACAGCAAAAACAAGTATGAAAACATGCCTCACCAAAAGCAGGGAAATCTACCTTAGGCGAATCAATGAACAATCAATCAATGAGCATTTATTATGTGCCAAACACCGTATTAAGTACTGGAAGTACAAAGATACAAAAAGGAAATGATTCTTAGTCCAAAGTGATGGATAATAGATTAGATTCTACCCCTGTTTTAAAGAAGTATATATAATATTAATATGCAGAGAGTAATTATGTACATAATAAATACAAAATAAACAAAGTAGTTAAATACAATCCACTGGAGAAGGAAATGGCAAACCAGTCCAGTATCTTTACCACCAAAAAAACCCAAACGAACAAAGAAAAAACCATGAATACTATTGGTGTGCCATGATCCACAGGATCATGAAGAATCAGACATCACCGAATGATTGAACAACAACAACAACAGATTTAATATAAAGCTGTTAGGGAGGTATATGCATTTTGAAGAAAGCGCTGCTCCAGCTATGTCTTCAAGGAAATGAGGAATATCTATGACTCAGAGTTGAAGAGAGAGTACATTCCAGATATGAGAGGCAGCCAATGCAGGTGCAAGGCACAGAAATGGAAGCTAGAGTCCCATGAGTGAGGAACAGAGAGAAGGCCACAAATGCAGTCCATATCATTGGGTCCAACCGAAATACCAAGTAATCTAAATTCAGTAAAGAGAGTCCAGTCCCTTGGTTTACCACAGGCAACACTAAGGAAATCTCTGATTTTTGCAGAAGCTGTGCACTGTAGAATTATGGGAGATGACATTTGTTTTGAACAAACATGAATTTCCCAGAACGTCATGAAAACCACGTTGCTGGAAGGAGCTGACCCCTAACTCTTCTAGGTTTTGGGGTTTTTTTGCACAGGGACCAGTTCTAAAGACAGATGGGGTCCAAATGGAGATAACTAAGTCTCTACTTACACAGGCCTCTGACTTTTCTAGGAAGAAAATGGCTTTATAAACCAGTTCATTCCCAGCCTGCCCTCCCAGGGCCTGAACTTTTATAATGAGATAGACTAGATAGGGTGGATTGCATTTTGCTCAAAATGAATTATCATCATAATAGCTACGTAGGCCTCCTATCAAGAACCCAACACTAGAATAGGAGTTAAAGGAAGAGTGAAAAAGGGGGAGGGGAGAGAAAAATTTACATATAGAGATAAGCATGGACACTCAGTAAGGAAACAGGCCTTCACTTCAAAAAGACGAACTCAGCAGAGGTCTCATTCCTGTTAAATATGTAGCGTGTGCTTATTTGATGATGAAAATCAGAGAATGGCTATTTGAATGGAAATGCATTTTAATAGATGTTTGAGGCAGAAGCAGGCCCTCCATTCTCTTCTCTATCACACAGACACCTTCTTGACCATCATTACCAGGAAGGAAGGAATATAGACCTCTCTAATCACCCTGTTCCGAATGGTGGAATGGCTCTCCTCCCTCCCCCTCAGTCTTTGTGGATGTTCATTAACCTTGTGGACTTCTCAAGCAGGAAAGCACAGCAGTCTTGGGGAAATTTCCATATCTGTTAAGAAATGCTGGCTATATATCTAGCTAGCCAGGTTCCAGATTAGAATGCAAACTGGGAGAAAGCATATCTAAGGTTAAAGGCTGTCATAGGAATGAAAGCTGCAAACTGGTAAAGAAAAATAATTAAAAAAATGAAAAAAAAAGAAATAGCAACCTTTTAAACTTAACTTTCAGTAACAAAAAAGAATAGCCACTTTAAAAAAAAAAAAGCAAATCTCCATCCCCCAAAATTGGGCATTTATCTCTTTCCTTGAATCAATTTATCTTCTTTTTTAATTGTTACACATATTAAGCCAATGCATTCATTTATTTTTCCTGGATATAGATAACAAAAGAATCTGTCCTTAAATACCAATCTACCTATAAAAGCTAGGATGAGGTTAAAAGATAAAATATTAACTTTCGATATATGTTATTTCCTTGTGTCCCTTTGGTAGTTAGGACAGAACTTGAGAATTCATAAAATCCTAAGTATCCTTGAAAGGTTATTTAATTCACCCCCTGTTAACACAAAGGGGAGAAACCCTCTAGCTGATGAAAAGTGCTATTTTTTTTTTAGCAAACTAGAGAACAAACTAGAGAAACAAACTAGAGAAGTTTGTGTTTCACAGATGTATCTCACCCAAGGATCCACATGTACTCAACTGATCATAGCTATTCTAATCTTCATAGGATTTAGAATTGAAAAGGACTTCATAGCAACAATAATAGCAGCAACAATAATAACAGCTAACATTTTTATAGCACTTTACAAAATCATATAGATAGATAACCATTTAATCTTTGCAATTCTCTGGAGTAAGTGCTATTAGTAGCCTCATTTTACAGATAAGGAAACTGAGACTGACAGAGGTTAAGTAACTTGCCTAAGGTCACACAGCTTGTAAATATGTGAGAGGTAGGACTTAAACTCAAGTCTTCCTAGCCCTAAATTCAGTGTTCAAGGCAAAACCTAGCTGCCCACATAATAGGATTTACATGGCATTTTAAAGTTGCAAAGTGCTTGGCAAACATCCGATTTTCACAACACCCCTGTGAGAGAGGTGCCATTTTTATAGCACATCTAGTCAGAGTCTTTTACTTTAGGGAGAAGGAACTAAGACCTAGAGAAGGGAAATGACTTAGCCAAGACCAAAGAGGTCCAACAACAATACCACCAGGAAATCTGGGGTTTCTGACTTCAGACCCAATCTTCTTTCCAAAAAAGAGTAAGCTGCTTTCTTCACTAATTTATGTTTTGCTCTTTCCACCTTGCCCAAAATTGAAGTTTGTAAGAATGCTGACCCTGGGTTAGTATAAGCTCATTAACCGTGCCTCCACTGGCACTATCATCCCATTACTACCTTTTGGCTCAATCCTAGTCAAGGATTTTTTTTTTCTTTTTGATCACTTTCATCTCTAATGGGTCATTAAACTCAGTAAGCCTCTTGTAGTTCATTTTATCCTAAGCCAGATAAATTATGCATTTTTAAGTTGGGAAGAAAGCAAACAGTTCCATCTGATCTTAATGGAGCAGCCAATATCTTTAATTTCCAACCATAAATTCTGCTCATCAGCAAGTGAAGCAACCTCGCCAAATTCCACATACACTTATTGATATTCAGGTTCTTTGTATTCTGAAATGATATTACTGGCATTGACAACTGTCTGTGCACATGTGTGTAAGAGAGAAGGCATGTCCCAAGGACAAATGACCCTTCTTTACTGCTCAGGCAAAATGTCCTACCATCTTAAAAATGACCATCACAATCTCTAAGGAATGTGGGAATGAATAGTAACTTTTATGGATGTCAGCTGCAACCCTGCTTCATATTTGGACCTTTGACTTATGAGCATTATGATTTCATCATTGAGATTTTACCATCTATTCTTAATGATTTTGTAATACTATTACTAAGTCTCAAAGTACCATAAAGCCTCTGCCAGGAATTCTGGTGCATGGTACAAATTTATTTGTGTCTAATCCCATCATAGGGGTAAGGAAGAAGGCTGCCCCCTATGAACACCTTAGTGATGGGACCCTGGGGATGTTAGCCAAGGGTGCTAACTCTAAATAGCAACACAGGTCTACAGAGCCCAAGATGGGATATCAGGATAACCATCACCATTTGGAGGAAGGACCTCCACTCCCTTCCCCATGATATCAACATCCTGCAATGAAGGCTCATTTATTCCACGAATACCATTAAAAATACCATTCAAAGGAAAGCAGGAGGCAGTTTCATGGGCAACGTCTGTTGCAAATAAAAATATTCCTCAAGTGTGATGACCTCACTGCATTTCTCTATCTCCCTCTCCCCATCAAACTACCTTCCGCTTTGGGTAACTCTCACAGGGAAACCTGCTTCTGAAGTCCCAGGCTATGTAGATTTGAATACCAAGGGTTGACTTTAAAAAGGTGTAAGACATTTCCTTTCCATTATCACCTAGTTAAGCTACTCAGACTCTGACAGGCTAACAAG